TTACATCACCATAATACATTACATCACCATTATACATTACATCACCATAATACATTACATCACCATAATACATTACATCACCATAATACATCGCCATAATATATTGCATCGCCATACATTAGCTACGCCAGTATCATTCATTGTTGCCATGGATGGTTCGATATTTATTATTGTTATCTCTGGTGTTGCTGTTGTTGCTGCTGCTGCTGCTGTTATCATTCTTGCTGTACATGCAGGCGTGTTGTCAGGCGTGTCGTTGGAGCAGCAAGTTGAACAACACGCCGAACGACCATCACTCAACCGAGTTCTCAGTCAGGAGTACTGCAGGCCTGGTGAGTTCATGTTCTCTCCATCCTCCATCTCTTCCTCTCCGTTCTCTATCTCTTCCTCTCCGTCCTCTATCTCTTCCTCTCTGTCCTCCATCTCTTTCTCTCCGTCCTCCATCTCTTCCTCTCCGTTCTCCTTTTCTTTCTTTCTCTTTTTTCTATTTCCTTGCCGGTGTTTTAAAAGCAGTGTGGATGTGAGCTGCATAATTGATCTAAATTTCCTTTCCATAGTCGGCTGTTGTATTCTTGTAATGTTGTTACTCTGTGAGAGCTTGTCCTGCGTGCATTGGTGTTTGTACTAGAAGTTCAGCCTTGCTCGACCATTGCACCACTAGTGCTGATGTGAGTTTCTTGCTCAAGAAGCAAGCGGCCAATCTTTAGTGTTTGTACGTGCATGTGTCTTTGCAGAGGTGAACTCGGAGCCATGGCGTGAGATTGGTGCATATAAGCGTATCCTGGCCGTGGGTGCCGATATGGTACTGCACTCATTGCTGGACAGGAACTTCTCATTGGCCGTGAAGATCTTACAGAACTTGGTTAGTTTGTGTAATGATTGCTTTGGAGCTCCTGCTTTGTCCTCCTTCTCTCCTCCTCGTCCATCGGCCTCTCCTCCACCCCCTCCCTCCCCCGCTCGCACACCCTGGGAACTCCCTAGTCGGATCAAGGGGCTTCCAATTCACCTGGGCATCAGACTTGGTGACTTCCATTTCACCCTGCCTTCAGGCATGGGGACTCCCTATACACCCTGCCTTCAAACATGGCAACTCCCCATCCATCCTGAGCTCAAACCTGGCAACTCCACATTTCACCTTTAGTCTTTACTTTTTCACAAAAGTCTTTCTGAGAAGTTTCTGTTTTTGTTTATTTTTGCTTGCGTATGTGTGTCTGTGCCTGTGTATGTGTGTGTGTGTGTGTGTGTGTGTGTGTGTGTGTGTGTGTGTGTTTCTTGCAGGGTTGTAACGTGCGAGATCACTTACGCCGCATCTGCCTGCACACAGTGTCAAGATCTCTGCGTGACTATCTGGTCAGTCACGAGAATGATACTCATCTTTCCCCGTATGAGCGTGTGTATCGAGGCAGGGGTGTGATGCGAAGTAGCCCGTGTCCTTCTGTTTGTCTGTTTCATACATTTGTCTATCACTCACTAACCGCACTCTCGGCCTTGTATTCTGGTACCGTAAAACATGTAATTTTAGATTCAATAACATTTCGGTACCAGGAGCCTGCCAGGTTTCAGGTGTAATGTAGAATTAGGTGACCAGCTTTCCCTTCACATACAGTGCATACTCTAGTGCCTTTTAGGTGTAATTTAAATTTAGGTGCCTGGTTTCTCCGCCGAAATCACCGAAATTAAAGTTACACCGAAAATAACATGTTTTACAGTATGTTTAGACTGCTTGCCAGCGTGTAAACAACAGGTTCAATCCGCCACTCACTGCTACCAAGCCATGTATATCCCAATCCAACCTTCATTCTCTCTCTCTCTCTCTCTCTCTCTCTCTCTCTCTCTCTCTCTCTCTCTCTCTCTCTCTCTCTCTCTCTCTCTCTCTCTCTCTCTCTCTCTCTCTCTCTCTCTCTCTCTCTCTCTCTCTCTCGTGTTATGCTGGTATTGTTGTTGCCCAGGTGGAGGAGTTATCTCGTCACAACTGGTTGTCTGATGAAGAGCTACATCTGGTGCGCTACTCCCACTTGTTAGAGCGTCTCTATCCTCACCAGTCGTTCAGTGCCGTTCAGAGTCAGCTTCTACCCGCTGTTGAGGCCAACGCCATGATGAGCGGCAAAAAGTATGTTTTCTTTGCTAGCTGTCATCTTACGGTAACCCATGCATTGAGAGGTATGCCTGCCGCCGTATACACTGTACAGTCGTCCCTCCTTAATCCAGCACTTTATAAACCAGCACCCTCTATAATCCAGCACCCTCTATAAACCAGCACCCTCTATAATCCAGCACCCTCTATAATCCAGCACCCTCTATAATCCAGTACCCTCTATAATCCAGCACCCTCTATAATCCAGCACCCTCTATAATCCAGCACAGTTTTCAATAGTTAAAATGTCCTCTTTATGCAAGTTGCGGCAGTAAATCAGATTTGATAATCCAGCACCCTTCCCAATCCAGCAGAATTTCAGAAGCACACATGCTGCCGGATTATAAAGAATAGACTCGGATGGAGAGCCAATGGTTAATTTCTAGTAGTAAAGAAAAGGACCAAAGTAATGTTGGTCAGTGTCATGCAATGTTATCGAATGAGCTGATTGTCAAGTAACTGGTGGTGTTAGTGGACAGTATAGCGTAACTTGTAGTTCCTTGGTCCTTTTCTATGCTGCCGGATTATCAAGGGACCACTGTAGAGGGAACCAGTTCAGTAGGAGTACACTGGTTGTACAGGGCTGGCCAAAGAAATCCAACCTCATGAATAAAATAGCCATTGGCGGGCACTACGCAGCCCTAGCACTACACACACTAGTCTGTGCACTCAAACACGGCGCTACTTTATTCATGAGGTTGGATTTCTCTGGCCAGCACTGTACAGTAGCACTCACTGAGTACGTATTCTGATAAGATCTGCCCTTGAAGTTAGTTAGGGGAAACCTTGCCACCACTTCCCGCACATATTCGGGAATATAGTGGACTTTTGTTTAAAAAAATGATTGCAGACTTTGATTCCGGTGTTTATCTTGTTACGATTTTTTTGTTCCACAGACGTCTGCCGTTGAATCTGTGTGACCTGGCTCTACCGACATGTCCAGAACTGCTGAGTCACCTACACACACCAGGGGATCTGGCACCGCTGGATTCAGGCGGTGGACAGGTATGAAGATGTGGTATTGTCACTATTGTGTGCCCCCGTTGTCCTGTACTACAATCAGGTTTTAGAAGATTGTGTTGAGATTCTCACGTACACCGAGAGTAACTTATGCAGCTCAGCAAGGTTGTGTGCCCGCGTTGTCCAACACTACGATCAGGGTGTTGAAGACATAGGATTTGTTCAGACTCTCATGTACACTGCCACTGGGAGCGTGCAACTGTGCTGCCCGCAGCAGCATGACCTCAGCAAGGTTGTGTGCCCGCGTTGTCCAGTACTACGATCAGGTGTTGAAGACATAGGATTTGTTCAGACTCTCATGTACACTGGGAGCGTGCAACTGTGCTGCCCTCAGCATGACCTCAGCATGACCTTAGCAAGGTTGTGTGCACCTTTTTGCCCAGTACTGCGATCAGTTTAACATGTTTTCGATTTCGACGTGTTACAAGGCGAGGACGCATAGCGCTCCTGACTACAACCACAACCTGGTTGACATGCTGTCGAAATCGAAAACATGTTAAACTATCAAGCAAGGCTTCTAGATATGCTATGGTCAGTTTGTAGGATGTGCACCGACTCAATCAGTAGCAGCAGCAGCAGCAGCAGCAGCCAGAACAACCAGCTAATCGATCCCTTATGATATCCAATGTTTTTTCTTCTCTTTTTTTTTTTCGTTTTTTCTCTGTTGCAGATGGGTGTATATCCCGCAGTCAGCCTGCCCACACAGGGACAGCAAATTCCCTCGGGTGTGTCTTCGTCCTCATCCGCGTCATCAGCATTGCCAGTGTCGGCTGCCATCGGTGGCTATGCCCAGGTGTCAATGGACTTCATGCAGCAGTGGAGTGGGGAATGCCGTGAACGTGTCCTACTAGAGCAGATAGTCTCCGGTCAAAACTCTTCAGTGAAAGCCAGTAAGTCACGTGTAGCATGCTGCTATGTTTAAGTTTTACAAATGAACCTTGCCGCAACTCCTGTTTTGAGTTGTTTTTCTTCTCTATTTTTCTTTCCCTACTAGTTGCTGTTACACTCACTGATCCTTATGCACAGATATACAGCATTCCCTCACTAGTGGGACCATTGTTATTAGGCTAGGGCCTGTTTTGGACTTCCCGCTCTAAATAAAGAATACAAACAAACAACCTTCATCATTTTGCGAGAACTGTGGCAATACGCCCAGTGAGAAGGCAGATTTTGCCTGTGCTTCTGGTGAAGTAAAATAAAGCTAGACAACAACAACCTTGACTCCTGGTCGGGTATAACAAAAACTTGTGATTAAGGACGTTTAGCAACGCGAAAGTTCGAAAGAAAATTCGAGTCTGGGAATGAGTACAGAAACAAAGGTCGAAACTTCGAAAACTTGGACGCGATGTTGCAGTGATTTGCGAAAGTAACTTTCTCTTTTCTCGGTACGCATTTCACTACAGGGAGTAGTAATTTTACAGCCCCCTGCTTGAGACTGAGCTGCATATACGGGATGGTACTATAAGATTCAAATAGCTTCGAGAAAAAGTCGTTCAACACGAACAGCACTATCTTCCAACCAAGTAATCACGTGACTGCACACAGTGAAACCTGTGTCAAGGCGACCACTCGGCTAAGGCGACCACCTGTCCTAGAAAACAGCTGAAACCCGGACCAAGGCATGCTATTTCCAGTCAAATGACCCTGGATAAGGAGACCACCTGGTAACAGAGACCACGTTTTGAAGGTCCCTTGAACGGTCGTCTTAGTCAGGTTTAACTGTACTTTCAACCTCGCGAATAACCACAACTCGCCAATAACAACACTGTTCTCATGGCTGATCCAGAGTTGTTATGCGCAAGGTTGACTGCATTCATCGGGATGCTGTGCTTGGTGAACCTAGGACTGTTCGTTCCTCGGCACCCTGTCTTCATCATCCGGCTGTGCTATATGGGCAGTAGGTGAAATACAGTAATTTGGGATTGCTATTCTAAGTATTCTTCCTCTGCTTTCCTTCCCGAATGTTACTGCTGCTGTTGCTGCTGCTGTTGCTGCTGCTGCTGTTGCTGTTGTTGCTGCTGTTGCTGCTGTTGCTGCTGTTGCTGTTGCTGCTGTTTCTGTTGCAGATGTTGATTGGAGTAAGCTGGTGAGTGCAAACAGCGAGTGGCGCTATCACCTGAGTCATCTCAACCAGACCAGTGTCTTGCAGTGCATAGAGCAGTGGATACCCACTCTGCAGGATGCTGTGGCTGCCAACGCGTGTGCTGGCACTGCTACTGCTGCCACCAGCACCTCCACCTCCGCTCTAGGTAGGAGTGATAGGCATAAGCCAATGTGGTCATAGACGTAAGCTTGGCTGGCCGTGATATGAGAACATCACAAGTGCGTTGCGAATGTGACCGAGGGTTAACTCCTGCCACACATGTGAATCCCGAGAGGTTGGACTCCTTCCACACATGTGAATCCCGTGTTCCTTGGCATGACTGGTGATGCTGTGGTGAAGCACCGGCTGGTATCACGCCGAACCTCTCCTTTGACCTTGTCTAGATGTTTTTTTTTGCCTTTATTTTGTGCCTTTTTCACTGTGAGAAGGTGTTGTTTCAGTTTGTGTGTTCTCATGGTTGATTGTTTTGAGAGGTCCGAATGCGTATGACAGTTAAGTTGCAATCACAATTATTAGAAGTGACTGTGTGTGTGTGCGTGTGCGTGTGCGTGTGCGTGTGTGTGTGTGTGTGTGTGTGTGTGTGTGTGTGTGTGTGTGTTGAGATGTCCGAGTGCCTGCGGCAGTTACGATCACAGTTAGAAGTGAGTATGCAATGTCTTTGCTTGTTTGCCGTTGTGTGTTTATCCTCACGCAGGCATATCGGCAGTGAATTCACCCACGTCACCGGTACCTCCTGCTGCTGCTGCTGCTGCTGCGCCCGTTGCCGTGCTCTCCTGCACAGACTTGTGGCAGGGATTGGAGCTGTGCCCTCGACATGTGCGCGAGCTGGTCGATGACGAGCTGGCGTGGTGAGTTAATTGGGTAGACGCGACACCAGATCAAATATACAGGTCCACCCTCGTTAGTACGGTAGTTAACCAGGGGGTTTCAAATTGTTTGTCTTATAGCGAGTATATTATCTACTGTTCGGATGTGAATGTACGCGTTTCAGGCGTCAGGGGATTTTTGATCTCGTTGTCTACTAAAGAGGTTTGTCTTGTATCCGATGTCGTACTAACGAGGGTAAATTGTAGTTTGAATGATTCAGTATCACAGTTAGTGAGATAATTAGTGAGACAAGTGAGCCCAGTGCATGTCACATTATTCTTACAGAAGACATGTTTGTGTGCATGCTTGTCAGCAGATCTCATTGCTCTCTCTCTTTCTCGTCTCTTAGCCGTGGCCTGTTCAGTGACGCCGAATTGTCGAACTTCACTCAACTCATGCGGAGATTCAGCCGCAACCAGTTGCTGTTCAGTCGGCCACATGCAATGCAAGGCGTCGAAGCTCACGTCAGGATTAGCAACGCAGCACCGGTGCGAGCCGAAGGCGATTTCTTTCCCCAGGAGACCAAGAACAGTGTGACTGCTACACCAGCGGAACAGCAGTCCAGCCGACTGTCCGTGTGTGCCGGTGGCAGCAGCAGCAGCAGCAGCAGCACGGGTGACAGTAGCACTGCCGTGTCTGGTGTTGCAGTGCCCGCTGCTGTCACGTTCCATCGTAACTTTGTCAAGTATTGCGTGGAGCATCGCCTTGCCAACCTCCTCTATCGTTACCTAGACTACCATCGGTAAGTGTGCAGAGTGTTGTGTTGGTTCTGGAAAACTATGCATGAGTCCACGCATGTGTCATTATCCATGGACCCATTGCGCAATGACGTAATTTATAACCTGAACACCCCACACAGCCACCTGGGCATGGTCGTCTGTGGGTGTTGAACAGTGCATTGCTGATCCCAGTGTACTCACATATCACCCCACACAGCCACCTGGGCATGGTTGTCTGTGGGTGTTGAACAGTGCATCCCTGATCCCAGCGTACTCACATGCATCACTCATACAATCCATATTTGGCAATGCGCAATGGCCTTCTTGGAGGGCAAGATAGGGACTGATACAGTTACATTGGACATGCATATAATACTGCCGACGAGAGAGAGAGACAGTACGTAGAGAGACAATGCTGCGACAATCACTATACACCAGAGAGAGAGAATGTGTTTGACTATTTGATTGAAAGTCGATTGGTGAGCCAAACATGTTCTACAGCATGGGCATGGGAAATACCGTATTCTACAGAGTGTGAGCCGCACCCGGATTTCTGTCGCGAAATACAGACATCTACCCTATTGTAATATGGAAAAATGTGGGCACAAGCTATGCGATTGAGTCCACCAACTGAACCAGATTTTGAACAGTCCGGCGTGCGCAATCTAGCACAAAACTCGATCGCATAGCTTGTGCCCACATTTTTCCTGAATCCATGTTGCAAATTTTTTCTTGGCTCACCATCTGAGTTCTTCATCCACTCTATTGATCACCGTTAATTTTACCATGGTGGTGTAAGCTGAATTTTACCATGGTGGTGTAAGCTGTGCTGACTTTTCCGGGGTGAATTACTGGTGTTTTAAGTGCGGCTTATACTCTGGACAATACGGTGTTGTGTTCTGTTGTGTGTGCTGCTTGCTTACGCGTGTGTGTGTGTGTGTATGTGTGTGTACTTGTTTGCTGATTGGATACGCACAGTTTGGCGCGAACGGAGAGGTCTGCGGCGAACGTCGGTTTGAGTTTGAAACCGTCGGACAACCTGTGGCTGACGTGCCTGACAGCGTTCCGCATAGCAGCCAGTGATCCAATGAGTAAGTGCATTTGGACTTGAGTCTCACCCCCCTCTCCCGGGCAGACCCACGTGACCAGTTTTACCAGTGAGCAAGTACAAGTACATTGTACAAGTGCATGATGTATACAGGATGGTCGCGATCAGAGGGAGATATGATTTACCATTATTGATTTCGGATAGTCGACCGTTGTATCGCCTTGACAGCATGCCACACAAACGCTAGAGGAATCGGTTAGTTTCTGCTACTCAAGTAACGTCTTTTGCATATCTCCGGGAATACTTTGAGGTAATTCATGTACAGTACACTGATATAGTCCGAGTACGATCATTTTCAAAAAAACTCTTTTTCTCTCTCTCCCTCTTGTTTTCTCTATGGCTGTGTGTGTACAGACTCCGGTGCAGTATTTCAAGCCAGTTTAGCCAATGCTCGCCTGTGCCTGGCCAGTATGGTGACGAGGAAAGACAGTAGTGTACCGATTAGCTTGATGCTCTCAACCAACCATCCCCTGATGGCACTTGGAACACTCATGTATGTTCCCGGTGGTCTGGATGAGGTAAGATCTGGTGTGTGTGTGTGTGTGTGTGTATGTGTGTGTGTGTGTGTGCACGTGTGAGAGAGAGAGAGTGTGTGTGTGTGTATGTGTGTGTGTGTGTGTGTGTGTGTGTGTGTGTGTGTGTGTGTGTGTGTGTCTGTCTGTCTGTCTGTCTGTCTGTCTGCGTTTGTATGTACACGCATGTGTGTGCATTTGTATTTTGTGTAGTTCATAATCAAGTTTTGACATATGCACACGCAATTTTGCAATCAACCGCTGTTGCGCAACATCCACACCGTGCTCTAGTCGGTATTGAGTTCATAGTGCAGTGTATAGTGAAACCTGTCTAAGACGACCGCTCAAGGGACCTTCAAAATGTGGTCTCTGTAACCAGGTGGTCTCCTTATCCAGGGTCATTTGACTGGAAATAGCATGCCTTGATCCTGCCTTGATCCGAGTGGTCGCCTTGACAGGTTTTTACTGTATAGTGCATACAATACAATTATTATGACACGTTTATTTTTTCTGTGTGTGTCTGTGTGTGTCTGTGCGTGCGTTCATGCGTGCATGTGTGCTTGCGGGTGTGCATACATGTTTGTGTCTGTGTTTGCCAGCTTCTTGATCATTTGGTCACGCCGGGAGGTGATGTCTTCTCCGCAGTCGGTGATGCGTGTCAAGTCATTCCAACATCTGGTTTCTCCTCGCACAGCACCACAAGCAGTGACTGGCCCATCGCTGTGGAGATGTTGCGTGAAGCGGTGCATGCGTATCCACAGCTACGCGCTGCGCTGTTCCCCGTGTCCAATGCTAACAAGTCGCCAGCCGAACTGCAGGATATCACGCTGTATCAGCTCCTGCAGGTACTTGCCGTTGCCTGTCATCCTGTCATGCTGTCATGCTGTCAACAATCATGCTTATGTGTGTGTGTGGGGGGGGGGGGGGGGGGGCATGTGAAAGGGGGGGGGGGGGGGGGAGGCGTTGAGATGTTCATTCTCTCTTTCCCCTTTCCCAATGAGAGCGCTTGATCAGCTTCTGGCAATGAGGAAGTAGATAACTAATGCTTACATGACAATGCAGTGTGCAGTGTGCAGTGTGCAGTGTGCTGTGTGCAGTGTGCCGTGGGTTGGCGTTGTGTGTACGAGTATTAGTCGTGTTGTATGACTGGACTATTCCCGTCTTCCTTCTTCTCTGTTCAGGGCAACAGTCCGTTCAATCCCGATCGCCTATTCCGCTGGCAAACAACCAACACGCTGCCATTTCCGGATGATGATGGTAAGTTTACCAAGATTGAAGCACTCCGTATTCAGGACTGTGTATTGAGAACTGAGTGATGCTTTCTTGTAGGTTTGCCGAGTGGAGGCTTTGATGGGCTTCTCACCCAAGTTGGCAGGAAGTGTGAGCTCCAAGTTGGGAGCGGCCAGCATCAGTACAAAGCACCACCAAAGGAGCTACCAAGTACCTCTTTATTTAGTTCGTTTTGCAAACTGATGTTGAGATTCTTGTTCTCTTTCATCTTCCATTGTTGTCTTCCCCATTGTTGTCTTCCCCCTTTGTTGTCTTCCCCGCTTTTTTCCGCATTGTCTTCCCCGCTGTTTTTCCCCATTGTTGTCTTCCCCTTCGTTGTCTTCCCCGTCGCTGTCTTCCCCATCATTGTCTTCCCCATCATTGTCTTCCCCATCATTGTCTTCCCCATCATTGTCTTCCCCCTTGTTGTCTTCTCTATCGTTATCTTCCCCTTCGCTGTCTTTCCCATCGTTGTCTTTCCCACCGTTGCCTTTCCCACCGTTGTTTTGCCCGCTGTTGTGTTCCCCATCGTTGTCTTCCCCATTGTTGTCTTGCCCACTATTGTCTTCACCGTCGTTGTCTTCCTCAATCATGTGCAGATTACCTACATGACATGCCACACTTTGCCCACACTAACCTGGTCACGCGGTATGGCCATGTCGAGCGCCTGTCCTTCCTGCACTACTTACGCCAAGGCCAGCCATCGCTAGCACTCAACACATTCATTGCTCAACATCACTATGAAGGTGCCATGGGCAAAGCAAGGTGAGGTCTCCCTGCTTTCTTCCTCGTCTTGTCGTCGTCGTTGTCGTTTCAAATTGTGTCTGTTGTTGCTGCTGCTGCTGTTTTGTTTGGGTCAGCCATGGTATCCAGACAATGGGTCGTGTGTTAAAAATTGCCTGAATTTGAAGGAATTTCCGGGAACAGCAAAGAGGTTGTCGATGGTGGAGTTATGACAGTCTGTTTTTTTGGTGTATCTGTCTGCCTATCTCTCCCTGTTTGTGTCTGTCTGTTGGCTCAATAGTTTGTCTACTTGCTTGTTTGTCTGTGTCTGTGCATGTACGTGTTTTAGCTTATATCAGATCCACTCTGATTTAGCCACCCACACTAGTACCAAGTATTACCTTCACTGGGGGCAGGGGCACCTGCAGTTGGATCCCGGGACGGATACCCTGATGCCGTCAATCCTTTTTCTGCACCTTGTCCTCACCCACTTACTGAGGTGTGGTGAGCCCATAAGTGGGATCATTTCAAGTCCACCCTAGTTTGGGGATTTCAGGGGGTGTCGGCCGCTGGGTGGTTCAATGGCCAATTGAGTCATCTTTCCAAGATTCCTTTTGAGTCTCTCTCCCCTCTCCCGGGGAGACCCACGTGACCAGTTTTGGCAGTGAGCAAGTACAAGTACAAGTACAATGTACGTGTGTGTGCGTGCATGCGTGCGTGCATGTGTTTGAATGTGATACATGCGTGGTACGTGTGTGATGCACGTGTATGCATGCACACATGTATTTCTCTCATATTGCACACAGCATTGAGCGTGCACTGAATCGTGCAATGCGCTTGGCCCTGCGCCACTTCGCCGACTCCAAGGTGGTCAGCGCTTGCACCGTCTTCTGCGAGCTGCTCGGTCACGACAGTCTCAGACTTCGTGTCACCGTGGAGACGGCCAATCGCATACTCGTCTACACTGGACAAGGAAGTAAGTTGGATATTTTGCAGCTGGAACTTGCTTGTCGCATGCATGCAAGCAGTGTTTAGTCTGGGACATTAGCTCAGTGGAATTTGGCTGCTGGCTTGGTGCGCCAGCACAATGCCAGCCGTCCTTGAGTTTGTGCCCGTCCTTTTGCTTATACTTTCCTGCTGCCTGCTTTCGGCAATGTTATTGTCTAAAAATAGCGTGTGTATTCTGTTTCGTTGGACCAGTTCGCCATTACCTTACAAGTTTTAACACTTAGTAGTAACTTAGCACAAACTCCAAGCTCTTCTTACAAGTTTTGTCTGTGTTGTCCTGCGCGTGCAGTTCCCGCTGGCTTGGCTGGTTCGTCCGCGACGGCGGGTGTGTCACCATCATCACAACGTCGCGCTGGCGGTGTCTCTGCCACGTCCAGCCTGACGTCCATCTCCTCCACCATGAGCCTGCCTGCACCCAACAGCAGCAGCACACCCACAGCTAGTCTCACGATATCGACTTCCCAACATGCTGCTACTGGCGGTGGTGTGGCTTCGTTGTCATCTCCATCGCAGCATCAGCACCAGCGGCAGCAGCCCTCTGCCAAACTGCTGGAGTTGCTCGGTGCTGACGCTGTCTGCAAGGACACTGTCACTATTGGTAAGCACTGCTTTACTCCTGGCACTTGCATGCGTTGCTGACTTGCGCACTAGCTATCGGCAAGAGTACATAACGAAGAGTGTGCAACTCCCATCTCGAGCTGTGATGGGTTCACCCAAGGCGGAATTTTTATTGCGTCATTCTTGGGCAGAAGTATGATCAAGTTTGTGTGCTTTCCCGGGCTTATTTTTTAGATACGGTGAGAGTTCATCAAGTTCAGGACCTATCGATCTGTCATGTGTTGTTCTGCTATCTCTGCTTGGATGTCGACTACACCATAGCTTAGTGGTAGACCATCGCTGGCCATAACCAAAGATCTCTTCTTCGAGTGCTGGTGGTGACAGCCAATCTTTTCTTGAGACCTTTCCCTACTCAACTCCCTCCACCTATGAATTTTTTTGCGGTTTTTGAGAATTTCGAGGTGTGCTAACATTAGGGGTAAAACGATTAGTTCGAATATTCGAGCATTCGTTCGAAAATTTCAAACGAGCGAGTATTCGAAATTTTGCACTCAATCGTTTTTTTATTTTTTTATTTTTTAGTATTGGCATTCTATTTTTCAAAAACTTTGGTTGTACGTGGTTGTACGGCTGGTCCACTGGTATGCATAATGCATCAAGTAAACGTTCTGAGATATGAAAATACTGATGAAAATACTGATGAAAATACTGATGAAAATACTGATGAAAATACTGATGAAAATACTGATGAATATCGTTACTTTACACTCTGTACAAGACGTTGGCGACTTTTGTTCTATGTTCACAGATAATTTCTTCCGATTTGGTCGAGAACTCACAAATCTAGCGCTTTTGAATTTTGATAAAATACTCGAAATAATCGGATACTCGATCGAACATTATGAATGAGTGATCGATTGGTCAAAATAGATACTCGTTTCACCCCTAGCTAACATGCACGCGTGCCTTTTCGTATTTTTTGCTGTCTCGCGCGCGCGCGTGTGTGTACTGTGCAGCCAAGGAGTTCTTGTCTCTAGAAAAACACTACCAGAGTAGCCAGAGCAATCGCAGTACTAACAGCAGTCCAAGTGGCCCTGCTTGTGGTGACGCTATACTGCGCTACCTCGAAGCTGCCACGCATATCCTGATAGGGCAACACCAGTACGAAGAGTAAGTATATGTACTCTCACACGTATCTCTGCATTCTCTGCATACTGTAAAAGCAGAAATTTTCAGTGGTATACTATTTTCAGTATTTTCCAAAATCAGCAGTTCGGTGGAGGGAAATTTTCAGTAAACCCGCTTTCCAGGTAAGTGTACTAGTACTACAGTCAACTTCGCTAATAACGACTGCGGATATAACGACAATTCGCGAATAACGACAGCATTTCCATGCCCAGAGCAAAGTCCCTTCCAACTGTAATGCATATAATGAGACTTCGGGTATAACGACACTTCGCGAATAAGGACACTCTTTTGATGCCCCGCCGAATGTCGTTATAAGCGAAGTTGACTGTACATGTATACCGAAATTTTCGGTGCGTTTTATTTTCGGTAAAAATTTCGGCACCGAAGTTACCGAAAATAAAACACCACCGAAAATGTCTGCTTTTGCAGTAGTGCATACATACCCCAAGTGATTTGGGCCAAATTAGTCAAATGTTGCCCCGCAAATATTACTCTAATCTAAGCATGGTTGTTGGGAGACTGGGTAATGTGTGAATGGCTCAGTCTCAGGAGTTTGCGGATGCGATAGTAGGTTAAGTCAGTGATTCCATCGATGTTGGTCGCTTGTCACCGTTTTGTGGGGCTCAAGGCTGTTCTCGTATTGCTTTTTTGGCAATTGTTGTCTTTAGCAACCCTACGTTGTGTGTGCCGTTTGTTTCTATTCGTGCTTGCTGTCCAGTGTGTCAGTGGAGGCTGCGTATTGCTGGCATCTCGTCATGTCCTTCTGCCGTCTCTATGACAAGCCGCTGAGCACTGAGTTTCTCAGGCAGTGCGCTGTCCACTCGCAGTGGCTGCCGTTCATCTGCCATGCACAGCAACACCAATTTGAACCGGAGCAGGTAAGCCAGAGATTGCAGCTGTGACCTAGGCTATAGGGGTGATGCATGAATGACATCATCCTGACATCATCATGATATGACATCCTGACATCATCATGACATCATCACATACCATACTGTTATGTATTGAAGTCTACTCTGTCTGAAAGCATGTTTTGAACGCATGCCTGATTTTCAAGATGTACGGCTGGTGCGTATATCTGGCTTCCGTGTGGACATACCCCGTACAGCTTGTCTTGTAAAGAAGCATACTGGTATGTCATGTAGAAGTCTGTTGACGCCGCAGCTTTTCTACAAGACCCTACAGTATATCTAATTTCGGAAATTTTCAGTGCTCAATATTTTCGGTATGAGGGCAAAAGGCCAGGTTAGGTGAACAGAAATTTTAGGTACAGAGAAGCAGTTCCCTATTCGATTATGTGTGTTTGTGTTTGTTCGGTGTATCGAAATTTTAGGTATGAAACAGATGCACCGAAAGTACCGAAAATAAAAGTACACCGAAAATTTGTGAAATTACAGTACTTTGCATGGAGTGATGAATCAGAGCTTCTGATGACACTCCATACGGATTACTTCATTTATGGGCGTAATCGCCTAGTCAAGTGATTGATGGGCAGTAGGTACATGTGTGTATGTAGTCATGAGTGCGCATTTGATGCTGTACATGGTTATATTGATGTGGGCGTTTGTCATAATTATGTGTGTTCATTCGTGTGTTACCGGTTGTCTTAACATGTGTTTGTGTGCATTGTGCCGAGTCGTTCCGTTCTCATTCTCTGTGCTGTGGCCTTTTTATGTTTATTTAATGGCTGCGACCAGGCACTGGACGTGATCAGTCATCACTTTGCCGACGGGGATCTGCGCGAGCACCTTCGCTTGGCGTTTGTCAACATGCAAGCGACGCCGGAGCTG